CATGAGAATATGATGAACCCACTTGCAATAAACATATGAATAAACTTGAAAAACCCTGGTATATGTGTAATATTATTACTGCCATACACCGTTCATACATTATCCCAAAAATCTATAACAAATAAAAATCTTACTTCTTAGGAACTGGAACATAGTGGTTTGAATCATGGTCGTCAAGCAGAAACTCGAGATGTTCGCTGTAAATGACCTTACATTATTATCATTATTATAATATCTACAACTACAGCTAGTTAAGTAACAATTTACGTTTCGCAAGGATGAATTTTTGTAAACACCGATGGTACTGTTCCTTTTTTCAAACATAGTTTTGATCCAATCACGTGAAATTGATCAGACATAAAATGTTTTCCACATATTCTCTGGTTATCCACCGATTGTATTTCTTGGCCTGTGAAAATCCTGATTGACGTTACCCACTGCTGCAATTCCGTTTCGGAGGATGGAAAACCACCGAAACATGCAAATGTTAAGTTAGGATGAGCATTCAATCAACACTTCGTGAATTTACTTTGTTTACATTGTTTACACTTACCGATGACTGGAGACTCCTCCTTGCAATACTGGTGTAGTAATGCAGCTATCACATCCAATTATAATGCACTTCATTTTTAGGCAATGATAATTCCTGTTAAACACAGAACACAGCACCTATGGCACAACAAAGATGAAAAAAAAACTTCCCGCCGCTCGCGACAAACTTTCCTAACAGCGCATTACGCATGAACAGAGCTTGCTTGCGAATATTTGCAGCAGCTGTCAAATGTTGACGTAAAATCGAACCAGAGAACCAGGATTTTTCGGCTTCACACAAAGTATATGGGAATGACATTTGCGTCATAGATGTGGTACTAGTCTTGCCAGGGATCTGGAGGTTTGCTGATACCAACACGGCGAATGAGAACGACTCAAATTTGAGTTTAGTTCACTCATAATCGTCAAAAGAGCAGGAACTCAGCGATGAGTAAAATTTGTCTCATGGTTTCCTGTGGAAAACCTAAAAAATCTGCCGGAAAATGAGGAAATCGACGAAAATTTTATTCAGTCTCGGAGTAGTACCAATAGACTGAGTGAATCCAATCTTTACTTTTCTCAAATTCGGGAATTTTTCCCTGGAAACTCCTGGAAAAACCTGGGAAAACATGAGGCAAATTTACTCATCGCTGAGTTCCTGCACTTTTGGCGATTATGAGTGAACTAAACTCAAATTTGAGTCGTTCTCATTTGCCGTGAAGAGGAAATAAATGAGCTCTCTTCTGTTGCTACTGTTGACCGGGACCGGACTAGTTGAGTCTTTTATTAAAATGAAGGATATTACACTTTTGAGTCATTAGGCCGCTGGCCTGATACTGCCGGATCCAGTTGCCAATGGTAACTGGAGTCTTCCCATAAATTTTCGCTAGTTGAGGTTTGTATAAACCCATAAAAAAGAATCCGTACAGGGCGTGATATTTTGTGTTGGCAGAAGCATGCCGCTTAAACACAGCTTGCTGAATCTGGTGCATGTAAAATCAGTGTATGTTTACTAAAACTTACCGCTAATCAAAAAACAAAAAAAAAGATGAAAAACTTTAGGAGAATTTATTTTTGCTGCTTCCAAAATAAACAACCAGTACGATCAGCTGATGAATATTTTGACGTTGGTTTTCTTTTCTTATTGGCTGCGCACAACCTGAACAGGGCTACGCGTAACTGCTAGGCGCGCAACTAATCCGATGAAAGAAATTTTTTAGAATATATCTAGATAGAGCTGGAATTAGGGCGTAACAGCTTTTGTTAACAATGGGTTCCCTCGATGATTTCTCGAAAGTCATCGCCCTCCCTTGCAAATCGACATCACCATCAAATAGAGGAAGACTTCTCCTACCCGATGGATATGTTGTTTTGTGTAGGCGTGCCTTTAATTCCTAGAAATCAACGAAAGAAGTCATTGTTTACAAAGGCTGTTACGCCCTAATTCCAGCTCTATCTAGAATATTCGCAATACGGCAAACACGACAAAAAATGGTCCTGTAAAACGTTCTGCAAAAGCTTGAGCATTTTCCAGATTATGATTGAAGAAATCAAAGTTGCCAGTTTGTGGGATTTTGTATCCGCCAGACTATAAATATAGCGACTATAATTTAAACCCATTTTTCTCAAAAACTGTACTGCCCACTAGAAACACTGGAATAAGAGACCAGCGGAGAAAAAAAAAACACGAATTTGGCAACAAGATAAACATCAAAGCAATCCTGGCATCACTTGCATTTGTAACTGCTTGCTAGTGACTTCGCCAATGCACCGACGAGCGAGTTCATGAGTGATTGTTAAACGATTTTAATACTCCTCCCTAATTGAAGTAAACCATTTGTAAACATTGCAGATTGGAACCACTTTTGACAGTTCGATTGGAATCATAACAGTGTCTCCGCTGGTCTCTTATTCCAATGTTTCTACTGCCCACTCTGTAATCCCAAATCAGTCCCATATGTACAAAGTAGGCATTCAGAAAACTACAGTCCGCGACGCCGGTGGTAAGCGTGGTGTACCTCTCATCCCAGCAGGCCTGGGTTCAATCCCAGTCGGCGTTGCCGGGATGTTCTGAGGCATAACATCTCTGATCACGCCTTCCTTTGGAAGGAAAGTAAAGCCGTTGCCCCGGTTCATGAGTTGATGGGTGGATAGGTAGACTCCAGGTGTGGGAGCTGCTTCCCTGCCGTCGGTAGCATTGGTGCTCAGCACGGAAAACAAGATTGACGGAAAACAAATCAAGGAAAAAATGACAGTTGAAGCAATTCCCATGTGAATATTTGAAAAATCATAGTAAATTAATTGATATTTTTCAAGTCGAAATCAGTTACAATGAAGCTTGCATGTTTTGCTACAATAGTGAAAATATGGCGCTCTGAAAAACACAACAATGACATTCAGGATGATATGCGATAACTTAATAGGACAAACTGACTTGATGTTGTTTTCACATTTTTCATGATCAAAGCCTGCAGTTGTATCACGTAATATGAAAATAGATATCAATTGATAGTGGATAACGTTGTTATCTTAAAATTAACGAAAAGCTATATGGGACTGATATAGGACGAGGCAACATCTATAAAATTCATTGCAAGTTTTAATTTTGCCAACAAAGTTGACCCTTCTGGAGGGCGTGTATTGTCGCGTAGTTCTTAAGTCGGGTGCTGTGGTTGTTTCAAGATCAGTTCCTCGTCAAAATTTCGATTCATTCATTCTTTCTTGTCGTAGGACTCCTTTGTTGTCGGTGTGCGTAGTTTGAGTGCCTTCGTCTATTCGTTTACAATCGTGTTTAGCTTGGGTCGTTATCATAGTTTGTCCTTTACCATATCCGTGGTCGTTACCGGGTGTTATGCATTAAGATTCGTCCAGTGTTAAAACAGTGCAGAAGTTTTACGTTGTATTAGGGTCAATCAAATTTGGTTTAGCAACCCTGCACTCTCACTTCAAAGGGCGTGGGGTAAATCCCAGTGGGCGCCGTCGGGATTTTCTGAGACATATAATCTCTGATCACTCCTTGATGGGTCGATAGGTAGGCTCCAGGTGTGGTAGCTGTTTTTCTGGCGTCGGTAGCATTGGTAGCAGTACGCAGGAAACCGAAAAGAGCAGCTGTTCTGAAGGGCAATCACGTAGAGAGAACGTGCCCCATGCTACTGGGGGCAGTTACTAGAATAAATGCTCCACCGCATGTCGAGTGTCACACACCTCGCACAGTTTACTGAATGGACCACGTTGTGAGAGGCTTTGGTGTATCCAGTTCCTAGTCGAGACAGGACGATCTGAGAGCGGCGCTCCGGTGGGTGTTTCCATCTTCCTCCGGATGAAGAGATTTATTGACTGCAATTCACTGCATTCCACAGTTCAGCAGCTCCGTATTGTGGCCGCAGTCCAACGTTTTAGATCCTGGACAAGCTCCATTACCCCGAATGCCGTTTCCCCAAATGCCACTTCCGCGAGCACCGTCACCCCGAATGTGAAAAGAACTAGCAGCAATCAAAAGAAGACAGAATCTAATTCTTGGAAGTTGCCATTCGGAGTAATGGCGTTCGAGGAAGTGACATTCGCAGTTATGTAGCCCAACCGTCCAACCGAAACTAGGACAGGGTTCGAAATTGTTTCGACTTTGCGGAAACACTGACCAGACTGAGCAGTTAAATCATGCTTCTAAGCCTATCTTGATGAAATTTTTCTTATCGATAATTATAACTCTGTAGTTTGAACGTGCTAATAGAATACACGAATGCAAAAATGGTACAGATTTCGAAGGCCTGTAATTACCAGTTTGTGGAAAACTAAGTGAAGGTGTGCGAAAACATTATAAGATTCGAATATTTCCCATCCCTACATCAAACGGCTTTTAAGTGGACTGAAAGGAATCTTCCAGCCCATCATTAAGAAGTCTGTTATATAATCACAAAGCTCAGAATTTCCCCCCACCAAACTTCCTACCGAATAAATCGCCAATCAATCCCGAAATAGCCGCCACCACCACCATCATCGTGACTTGTTCGCTGCGAAGTTGAACTTTATTTTCCCAACTTCTCTCCCTGCCCGGAATAATCAATGTTGGTTGTTCGGTCACTTGCAAACACGCACCACTAAAACCAGCTAAAACCCACCCGAAAAAATAGGCAATCTCATTTGAATAATTTCAAGATCGCCCAAATGATGATATACACGTGAAGCCTGAACCCCGAACCGATTCTACAATTACCAACTCCTAACAGTACAAAATCGCATTTTTTTTTTCGCCATTAGGTTGTGTCGGTTTCTTCGCTCGACCAACAACCGCTCAAGGTCTTTCCCCCCGAGCCGTTCTCGTTCCATTATTTATCATTCGCTAATCGCTTTGCGCTGGCCTGGCTGGTCAAACGAAACGCGCTGATGGCGATTGTGCGTTGTTTTTGTTTGCCCAATCGAAGCGCTACGTTTGTTGGTGTAAACAGTGTAGGAAGTAAAACGGGACTTACCTCCCGGTGGCGGCCCTTGAAGACCACGGCGAACGCTCCATGCCCTATCAGGTCCTTGCTGTTGTACTCAAAGTTCCCAACCAGTTCCATGGTGAGACGATGGTTTCCTCTCGGGGGTGTGGAACCAGCACTTCCTTTTTTCTACGTTTCACTTTTGCAACACTGAACACACTTTTATTTCTAGTGAGACACTTTAAGCTTATTTTACACTAAATTACATTAAATATTGCAACAATTGCACATAAAAACACTAATAATTTTTCGCAATCTTCAATGATTCAACATTATTCGTGCATCGGATTTTATTTTCTTCTAGGCAGCAATTTCCTTTCCTTCCACTCGATGCAATTTTCTTCTCCTCCGGGAAAATTTTCACTTTTCCTGCTCTACACAGACAATGCTCGCTCGAAAGCTTAAAACTCGAGCCAGCTACGTTTGTTTCGATCTACTCGCAGAAATTTGCACCTTTGGTCTCGAATCAATCTGAATCAGGCTTTTCTCCAGGTTGACATTTCTGTTCCAGATTTTCCGACCCAACTCAGGAAAAACGATTCTCTTTTCCTTCTACGGTGGTGCTGGCGGTGGTGGCGACGAGGCGAAGCGAAACAAAATATACACTTTTTTCTTGCTCTGCACTTTGCACGGCCAGGGCAAATCAATAAACCTTACTCATCCCTCTTGCTCGCGGTTTCCCCAAAATGAAGGCGATTCCCTTAGGATGTCTTGCACGGGACTCCTCCAGAGTGTCCCTCCGAATACTCCCCACAAATACCAGCTACTGGAACCTGGGTGGGGAAATGGCCCGCAGAAGAAAACGCAGTTTTGTTTTTCGCCAAGAGACGCAAATCTTTTTCCCGAATCACACACACTTTGTTACAAGCAGGGGAAAACTATTATCGCGAAAACTCTTTTCACTTGGCCCGCGGCAGCTTGTCGCACTTTTACTTTCGGGAAAACACGGTCTCCGAAGTCAAGTCAAGCAGTAAATGGCACGCACGCAGGGGATTTTGATTTTTTGTTTCCTACTGCCAGGAGTCGACCGAATCCACCATCAAGGAAATGTAGTAAATCACTTATTATTTTTCATCAGCTTGTGCACTCTCTTTCTCAGTATAGCTTATAACACACACGGCGCACCCCGTCCGTCTTCTGTATGCACTGCCTTCAGGTCCCGCGAACGTCGCAGATACTCGCGAGAATCCACAGAGCCGTCAAAAATTTGCTCCTTCCATCCATATAAAACTCGGACCATCTCGCCATATCAAACAAAAACAAAGGAAAAATTTTGACAGCTGCGCAGCTGTCAACGGGAACTGTCATAGACCTACTGGCAGGGGAAGGAATGCGAACAAAGGCGGCTCGAGGGGACAAAACGGGACAAAAAAGTAAAACTTACACGGTCGTTCAGACCAACTCAAAATTGAGGCTGTGTTCCATTTCCCTATTAAAATTGTTATGGTTATTTTGCTTAACGACGTGTTCCGGATATCATCCAAACCATTTGTTGTATAGTTCTATTATTTGGGTTATCGTTCATTTATGGTTATTTTTTATTAGGGTTGGTGAATTTTCTCTTAAATTTGACAGATGGAAAATTTTAAAATAAACTTGCTATCCAGCAGACTTATTTCTGCCAGACAAGGAATCAAATTTGACAGACGCTCTCTCGAAAATCGGCCGATCAACAAGAGAGGGATGTTCGAACTTTCTCTTTCGTGAATAACTTGAGCACAGAACCGTTTTTTGAAGTGTTTGTAATATTAGATGCTAGATAAAAGCTTCTTTTGTCGATCTGTGTGCTGAAAATACTTAACAAGTTTTGTGCACAAATCTAGACTAACATTTGAAAAGGGCGGAACTCCAAAATAACCATATCGAGAAAATCGCTTCCGAATTTTGATGACCTAAAAATTAATCCTATTTCGCGACTTTCCATTTTCTGGATGATTTTATAAGCTTGACATATAGTTAATAGTGTAATCTATCATCATGCATCACTAAAAACTCAAAAAAAGGTTTCTTTGTCGTGAAATTGAGAAGAAAACATCATACGCCCTGATAATTTCTTACATGTTGTTACCCCCCAGATCTTCCATCCTTTGAACTGCCAACACTGGTGATACGCCGTGGAAGTACACCATCGGGATTTTTTGTTTGCTGTTCCGCCTTGGTTCTTCGTTCGCAAATTTTGTGAGAGTGGAATTACCTCGGGAATTACGCCCGGAGATTTTTTTGGTCTTCTTTTTGTTCGTTGTTTACACGTGAAACATCAATCGGATGCGTTTCAAATGAATCGGGCGTGACTAGATACTACAGAATCAATACGTTTAGCATATTAAAACAATATAATTCAAGAGCAAATTTTCATTATGTCGTAAGTAACATTCGCACCAATCCGAGAAAAATAAAGTTTTGTTTTGATGACCGAAAAGTTATTCCTATTTCCAAGTAAACACATATAATCTCATAGTGATCAAGGTGGCTACATATAGGTGTTCTAATGTGTCAAATTCGTGATTCAGCCATGTTGGAATTTTGTATGGGACAGCGACCGAGTTTGTTTACAATTTGCACTAAAACCGCATTTCCCCCCCCCCCCCCCCCCGCGACCTCCTCGCCTATATAGTGACAAAGCTGTATCACCATTTATATACCCACCATGATAGTGATAGCAATGTTTAACATACACAGCAAAAAAAAATGTAATATCGATCAACGTAACTCAAGCTGATGTATGAAATAATGATGTAATAGCAAAAAGCAGATACAATATTACATCAATGCATGTAATTTTGTTCGCAAAATTGATGTACATCGTACAATGTGATATTACACAACCGATGGATTGACCTGGTTGCATCAGTTTCGATGTAATATTCAACAACTTTTTTTGCTATGTATTTAGCAGGGTTTTAATCATACAAATGCAAATCGCTAGCTTTCATGCTAAAAAATACTGGTTTTTGAGTCAAAAGTTATTATACGTCGTTTGGTGGCCCCTATTGTTACTTAAGTCAAAGTGTATTTACCAGGATATTCGGGAGAATTATCAATTACGTCTCCTTACGTGCAGCCCATTCATCATTTTAGGACCACCGAAATCATCTTAGCAACAAACAGTTCGATTTATTCACTTTAATAATGAGAAAGCGATACGACGAACGTACACTTTTCACGGGTTTCTCAGCGCTGTTACTTAAGTCAAACGGCATCTCCATAGAAATTGGGTGACTTAAGTAACATCGAAAACTATTTTGATCGGAAGGTGATTACGTCAAAAAGCAATTTGACTGGTAAATAAATTTAAAAATGGGATTTGATCCTATATTCGGACAGTATATAGTGTAATAGCAGGAGAATCGATTGACACTGATAGCTCGACTTTGTTTACCTTTGTTACATTCGACGTAATGAAACTTTGCTCTTGAATTCGTTGTTCTGGTGCAAGGCGTAACAACCAGTTGCATCATCGAGTTGAAAGTTGGAAATACGCCATGTAAGAAGAAACGTTTTTAATTATATGAAGTGATATTTTTTCTACTTTTTCGTGTTTATCGAGTAGTTTGTGAACTGTTCTCTCTATATGTGCCAAAATATGGTTTGTTTACATTTTGGCTCTTCCGTCCCTTTAAAATGTTAGTCTAGAAATGTGTATAGACCCATACACGCTAACTTCTACTTACTCACCAGGTGAGTCAATCGTACTCACTTTCGTCCGATGTATCGAGTTGTCAAAAATTGAGTTAACGAGAAATGTCAAACTGAGTAAAAGCCACTCAGTCAGCAAAATCCTGGACTTGGAAAAAATGCCAGTCATTTCGGAGGTAGCCTCATAGAAAATGTTACTTAAAACCGACTGAAATATGCCTTCAGGTAAGTACGAATTGTTTAGGGAAACGGTGTTGAACCATTTTCTGCTCCGGTAGAATGAATCCGGAGCAGGCAATTTCCATTTCCTTGAATAAAAATCAAAACAAAAACCCTCCCCGCAACTGAAAATACCGGCGAGTGGATTTGACTCAGTCTATACGTGAGAACGTCGTTTACTCAAAAGTGAGTCAACATAAGGCTACTCAATTTTGAGTAGCCCTACTTGCCGCTGAGATGAGTACATTCGACTCAATTTTGAGTTGACCAGAATAAACGTGTACACATTAGATCCGGATCGGACGCGTTGCGGCAAAGTGACAGCTAAATCTATTGTCTAACTGTCAAATTTACGTCAACGCAACGCAAACGGATCTAATGTGGGTGGCCCTTTATACCTTGTACAGACATACAAAGTACACTGTTGTACTACCGTTGTACTTCTTTAAGCTAGTACCTCAAATTGTACGTTTTGAGGTACTGGATTAAAGGAGTACAATGGTACTGCTTTGTATGTCTGTCAATGGTATTACACGCTAACTTCAGCTGTGGGTGGCCCTTTACACGCTAACTTCAGCTTACTCACTTACGTTTGCTAATTTTATGAACTCACGCTATTCTGAATCTACCCAGTGAATGGGTAGATGGCACCCATTCTTGTATCCAGTAAGGAGTTGTCAAAATCTGGGTAAACTAATTTTGTTCTGACGAGTAGAATCTACCCAGATTCTGGGTAAATAGTTCTAATCGAAATTTTCCTTAAGGGGAGGTTTACTTGGATTTTTTCAAAAAAATTGATTTTTTTTGCATAAAATGAAAGCTACAAGTGTGTAGAATATGTGGCCAAAAGGATTTTACGATCCGAAACATATTTAGCGATTTATGGCGCTTTGAGTGAACCTTTGTCATGCGCGCTGAGGGACGCAACAAAAACTTTAAACGCGTTTTTCTCGAAACCATATTTTTTATAACAACTTAGAGCATAGGGCTTGAACAAATGATCCGATTTACAATCGGAAAATTGCGCTTTGAAGGATACTATTTTTTGTATGGCTTATACCTAAAATGAAAAAAAAATTGTTAGTTACTATTTTTTAAGCAAGGTCAAAGTGAGAAAAAAAGGGGTAAAAAAAGCACTAAATTTTCAAATGTCCATAATTTGGTCAATTTTTGTCGGATTTCGTTCTAGTTAGGTATAAGCCATAGGGAATATTATCAACTTTAACAATAAAAAAATTTCATTTCAGTTCACCACCAGAGGGTGTGCACTCGAAGTTCTGCAGCAAAACCTGACTGACACTCCTCCACGCGAGCCGCCATTTTGTTTTTTAACCTTCAAAAAATTTCCAAGTATTCAGGAATAGTGGAAAAATATAATTATCGAAACCGGAAGTTCGTATGTCTTTTCATTCTCCTGAAAAAAATTCCAAAGTTCAACTGTTTTTCAGCCAAATCCAAGTAAACCTCCCCTTAAGTTAAAAATGGCGCAGGTATGAAAGGGAGATTGTTGCGCTGCCAGTAAAAGTTAAGATTCTCAAAATTTATAAATCTGATGCTAAACAATGTACAGATATGTGTAACTGTTTCATGGCGAATGCTACCAGCAGCTTAAGTTAGTAAGTATATTGTTAGTTTCTGGACTTTGAACATTTTCCTAAACCTAGCTAAGTCGAGATATTCTGTGACGCTTTTCTCGATGCCAAATCAGTGCTAACATTTGAAAACGGCACAAAAGCCATTTGTAAACAAATGGTTTGTGGGCCCTTTACTCACTACTTGAAGTACACCCACGCGACACAACAGCAACATCGGGTAGGGGAAATTTTCCCCTTCCTGACGATGCTGTTGGTTTGCGTGGGCGTTCTTCGGGTAGCGAGTAAAGGGCCCACAAACCATTTGTTTACAAATGGCTTTTGCGCCGTTTTCAAATGTTAGCACTGAAATGTTTGTTGTAGTTCCTAATTTATAGATCTCTATTAAAATCGAATCTCAATAAATGGTTAGCATTTGTAACGGTATCGTTTTTGGGGATTTTATAAGTAGTTCGTTTATTTGGATCGAGAAAAGCGTCACAGAATATCTCGATAACCTAGCTTTAGGAAAATGTTCAAAGTCCAGAAACTAACAATATACACGGCGAATGAGAACGACTCAAATTTGAGTTTAGTTCACTCATAATCGCCAAAAGTGCAGGAACTCAGCGATGAGTAAAATTTGTCTCATGGTTTCCTGTGGAAAACCTAAATAATCTGCCGAAAAATGAGGAAATTGACGAAAATTTTATTCAGTTTCGGAGTATACCAAT